TTCAGGCAATTATTTATGTATTTACCTGTAAGAAAATGTAAAAATGACTGTAAAATACTTAAAATTATTCTGGTACCAATTTTTGTCCACTAAAACCTGAAGTAAGTCGATTTTCTATCGGATTTCGTCTTAATAGACCTTTCCCGCATTCCGACAAACAGCGCCAAGTCGAGGTCAGGGTGGACAAAAATACAATAAATGTATGAAAATGTCCACCCCAACCTTGCTCTGGTGCTATTGTTCGTACGCACTGAGGTGGAATGCGGAAAAGGTCTATTATTTCGCTTTGTGATACAAGACTAATGACTACTTGTCAGGGGAAAATGAAAAATAAATGTCGACCTGACGATATTGCGATTCGACTCTTAGTGAGAGGAATATATATATCTTATTAGATGTATTGGTGTGTAGTATCGCTGTATATTTTTACGAGTTGTGCCGTATTTTGACGAGCCCGTAGGGCAGGTCAAAGTACAAACAAGTAAAAATGTAAAGCGATACTACACACTAAACCATCTAATAAGAGATTTATTATCTAACTGCAGCAGTCAATAAATTTATCAATGAAAGAGGGAATGTGACAGTTTCGCGTGCGCGCGCCGAGCTATACGCAAACAGATTTTCTACTGTACAAATAACTGTACAATATCGCTGTATATTTGTACTGTTAGTTGGACAGTATTCGCTGCAGTTGAATAATAAACGTGAGGTACTGGCGCAGGGCTGTAGTGAAGAGTTTTCGGTGTAACTTCCAGGCAGAACCAGGACTACCTAATATGAGATCTTTATCTCCTAAAATAAAAAAGAAAACGGCCAGTCTACTTGAAACTGAAGCACAAGTCAAATAATGATATTTCATTTGTTAGCAAGAATGCTTTTTTGCGCTTGTGTAGCGCAACCTGTCTAGAAACAGCTAAATGATTGCGCAGTCGTTACTAATATTTTTCCGTACTTGGAAACCAAACTATATTTATGTACATAGCTACCTTACTTCCCCCGCAAGCTGCTATCTCCCTCTCTCTATTACATTGTGGATATTTTCTTCAATGGAGGAATGTAGCTTCAGATTCCCCGCGCTCTGATAAGCGGGTTGGATAAAGATCATACAACAAGTTCACTCCTCTTACAGGATGGTTCAAAGAAAGAACCCGACACGATGCCAAAGCATAGTACCACAGGTAACCCAAGCTCGCAAATGAGCTTTCCTTGTGCATACATTAGTTTTCAGGTTATGCAACAGTCAAAATATAAGGATTTGTATGGGAAAAACGGTTATTCTTGAGTCTAAAAGTACGAAGGAGTATGAATAAAAATAAACCTACTCGCTTCAAGTGTGTGTTTCTTTGTTTCTCGTGAGGTTTCTAGGCCGATTCATGGTCATTTAGGTAGTTTGTAGCTTCACTGCTTTGTCCTCAGTGACGCTGAGACCTTTCCGAATGATTTTTATGTTAAAAAAGGGTAAGCTCCTGGCTCACGAAAGATGTGATAATTTGAGTGGGATTCTTTTGAAAATACTCTCGCCCCAAGCCCACTCCTATCAGTTGTGTACATGCGAGCTCGATAGATCACGCCTTCTTCCCTACTAGAGAGGTCACTCCGCGATTTAAGACCAAGGAATCGCTTGCCGTAAGTAATTCTCTGGTGAAATAGTCTAGTAAAACACCGTTCCATGAAATGTCTATACAACTCAGTGACTTGATGAAAATAACACGAAACGTCTGTCCATTTATAAACTTTGTATCATAAAACGTAACAAAGAGTGTAACAGAGGACTGAGTTGTAAAATGATGTAGGAAGAGATGTTAGTTTACTAATGCATCGGTAACACAGGCAGCAATTAGATTTTTTACGAATAGTCTAGAAAAAGTAAAACGACTTAAACCACAGTTCTCAAATAGTGTTTGTGATACATGCAGATGTGCTTCGGCTTCGAAGTGTAGTGTCTCTCGATATAAAAATCGCACAAAGAAAAGTGTGCAAATTATTTCTATGGTTCGGTGTTGCACCAATTTTGAATATACCCAAACTGAGTTAATTTGTCAAAGGTATTTGACGACGCCACTCAAAGAAATTCGATTCGCGGTATATTTTATGTCTGCTATAATTTCCAGAGGTAAATATAAGAATTGGACGCTATATTCACCCCGCCAGGCGTTGAATGTAATATTTCTAGGCTTGGTTACTAAGCTCGCACCACCTTTGCCGTCTTGGCTTCTAAGCATGGCGTACAGTTGCGGAATTAAATTTTCGTTTACTCGAAAGACATCTCTCCAAGTTCAAGATATTTGAAAGCTTGGGGAATATGTGAAATGACTACTGTTGCCCTCAGAACAAAAGTGTTTTCAAGAACTCGCATTCAAGGCATTTAACGCAGTGGTCTCGTTGATCGCCAGCAGGTCATATCCCGGGGGGGGGGATACTCCCTTATATTTGCTTTCTTTGTATGTGCGGCCCCAAAGGGTGTGATTTTTCAGCCGTTTTGCTCATGAATAGGGTATAGTTTTCGCACTCTGGTCTGAAACTACTTTTTCATCATCATCGAAAAAACATCAACAAAAGCCCTTAATGTTTACGGCAGTTTAGCATTGGTCTGAATCAACTTTATTTATTGAGGTTACCACACAACAGTAATCACTGAAAAACCAGTGGCCCTCAAAACTAGGTAACTAATTATAACTCGGACAGACCTGAAACAGTGTTTTGATTCAAGGGTCCGGTCTTAAATAGGGTATCGAATTTTTGGTCAGGTCATAAATAGGGTAGGGGGGAAATCACAGATTTTTGTCAAAAATAGGTTAAGGGTTTTGGAAAGCGGGCCGCACACCTCCACCCAATTTTTCTGGGAGTACCCCCTGGGCGGTCAGATCGAGTGACCGAAAGTAATGTTTCCTACTCATGGTTAGAAGAGGAGTACAACTGTGAATGAAGTCAACAACGATACAACAAATAAATGGATACATTTATTTTTCGTAGAGTTTTTATTGTTTTTTTTTTACCCCTAACTAGATGAGTAAATTGATTCACAATCGATTACTACGGTTAACAGTTACGTCCGTGTTTCCTCATTTTAGTCTGTTATTTTCTTCTCGGTAAATATTCACCAATGTTCACTTCACCTTCAGCGAATAATTGTTAATTAGTAAAGGGACGAACTCACAAAAGCATGGCTTTTATATTTTATCAGGTTGGCAAGGTACTGTGGTGGTAAAATGTAAAGCCGCCATCTTTTTCGACACGGTGTATTGAGCTAACACTTCTCTAAAAAAAAGAAACATAAGACAAGCTAATATACGGATTACGCCGACGTGTTTTCATCCTTGTTGCCACCCAATTTAGATCACATTGAGAGGAAACAATTGTGCAATTTGTCACACGTAACTGCTTGCACGGGAATATGTACAAAAAGACGGTTGTAACCTCCCAAATGAATCATCACACGACCTTAATTGGGTGGCAACAAGGATTTGCACACGTTAGCCGAATCCGTCTATTTACAGCCAGTAGAAACGCTATTTTCTAAAACTATCAAGTCACTCGTAAGGCAAATGGGTTACTTTTTAAATCCCGGTCAGTACCCCGGTGCATAAAAATGCTAGTTCATTTCCGTTTTATTGCACGTATCTTGTAAGGAACGGGATACTGGGTGTCAGCAAATATTCCTTTCAACCTTGGTGGACGACCATCTTCTTCAGCGATGAAGGTGAACTTCTGAAACAGCCACGAGAGAAACAAAAACAGCTCAACTTTAGCCAGGGCTTCCCCAACGCAGGCCCGACGTCCCGCTCCAAAAGGGTAATAGTTGCTCTGGTTGATGATCAACTTACCATTCTCGTCGATATGACGGTAAGGGTTAAACACCGTTGGGTTTTCCCAGCATTTGGGATCCAGATGAACAGATTCCGCGTCAGCAAACACAATGGTATCTTTGGGAACACGGTAGCCGCAGAGTGTCGTGTCAGCAAGTGTGACGTGAGGCAGTAAAAGAGGCGCCACGTTTCCAGCTCGCAGCGTTTCTATGATGGTCGCCTGAAGAAGCGGCAGATTGGCTCGGTCTTCCACACTGGGGTTCCTTCCGCCAAGTACTTCATCTAACTCAACCTGAATATCTTCTAGGTACTTTGGATAATTGACCAAGAAGGCTATCGCCCATTTCATTGTTGTGCTTGTGGTTTCGTAGCCGCCAGCAACCATGTCTTCGATGATAGTGACCAAGTAGTCATCAGAAAGAAAAGCTACTCGCTCTTCATCATTCTTAGAATCATGATCCCTGGCATACAGAAGACCTGAGATCAAATCTTTCACAGGAATTTGTGGATCAAAATTTTCTTCTCGCTCCCTCAAGAACATACGGATGATATCATACATTTCAAAGATGGGCTGGAAAAAGCGATCATAAGCCTTAATGGGTAGGTGCTTTGCTAATGGAAAGAAATCTAAGATCTTCACCAACTGAATATTATCTGCGTCCGTCATCATTTGTATGTTAAGTTTTAAGAGTCTGTTCAAATATGGATTGGTTGTGTCATAGCCTTCACCAAAGGTGATGCCGCAAATAACATCAGCAACATTACGCTGTAAGCAATCTGCTGGATCAAAAGGCTTTCCATCTTGTCTTTCTATAAACTCTACTAGTTTCTCGGCCTGTGTCGTGATTCGCTTTTCTATCAAGGGAATGTCAGAGAGGTACTGGCGCAAAGCTGTTGTGAAGAGTTTACGGTGGTACTTCCAGGCAGGTCCATAGTTACCAAACAAAATATCTTTGCCGCCTGTAAAGGTTGGAAATTTAACTCAGT